GTTTACTAAGGCTAGTACCAAGAAGGTACTACAAAGATGCAAAAGAAAACACAATCAAAGCATGTGATGCTCAGACTGGCAACCTATTAGAAGATGATGAATATGACAGCAAATAAAACACAGAAATACCTAGTGAATATATGCCACAGTTTTACACTTCTAAAATTAAAAGAAACAAAGGCGTTCAAATAAAAAAACTTTATCTACAATTGCATTGCTCGTTTCAGATGCGTAACTCCACCATTGTGAGCTTGCTCACATCGCCAGTCCCAAGCCCGGGAAAAGGACGAGGGTTGTGGTAGGCTGTTAGTGTAAAACTAGCCAAACTAGTCAATGCATGATGAATCCTCACATAGGTTGGCCTGAGATAAATTAAATTGGGGAACATGGCCAGTGAGGGTTCATACAGCTGATCCAAATTTGTTAGCATTGAGGCATAGTTGTTGTGTGTTTGTTGTTGCTGGTTTAAGATGCTTAAAAATAGTCAAATCCACAAGACGACCCCACTATATTTGTAATTGTAAGGGACCAATCTCTAAATGTCGAGAGTGCATCCGCGCTTCAGTTTTACAACTCTAAAACGGTCATGAACTAATAGATTTATCTACCAATTACTTGAACATTCCTCTCCACCGAAAACAAACTGACAGCGAATTCAAATCATAAAAGCACTGCCTGGTATCTAAGCACACAGAGGTTCAAACAAAGTTAAGATTGCTCACCTTTCTAGTCCCGGCAGCATCTCGCTCTCTGATATGTCGTTCTAACTCCTCCCTCTCTCTTTGGTCCCGAAGTATTTCTTCTTCCGACTGCAACCGAAAAACATGCAGTTAACGTCAAGTGGATCGGGATTTCTGAGTATAGAGAAAGGTGAACAAGCAAGAAACTCAAAACAATACACCATATGTTGTACCTCAGAGTTGTCACTGTCATCTTGGTCTTGGGAAGTTCGTCTCCGAACCCGTCTATCATCCTCCTCATCCCTAACTACCTGCACCATCATATTCAGTCAAAACAAAGCAACTTGTTAAAACAAGATTCAATATTACAGCAGCTTACCATCAGAAATAAAACTGAATTCTATCAAGAAGAAGAAGAGTATAAGCACTATGCCTCATCATCTTCGTCTTCATGGGTCTCAACCCTCTTCCTAAACTTCTTTGTACGGGTATCCTCTTTCCTAGTCTGAGAAGGAACGGAATTACTTTCCACACCAACAATATTTTCATCTTCATCATCAGCCTCCAAAAGTGAGTATGTCTTTTGTTTCCTCGCCAACATGGCAGCCTCCCTTTCTTGTTGTAAATATAGCTGGTGAACAAGAGGCACCAAGTGTTATGAGATGAAGCACAATGTTTTACCAAAAGAATTCTTGCTAGTCCAACCCTATGAAATTACTGAAATTGCAAGAGAAACTAACATTTGGCCCGGTCGTCTTGCGTTCAACTCTCTCAAAAATCTCTTGAGCAAAAACTCTTGTTTCACTAGAGGATGACATACCCATATCATCTACAAGCTGATTTGTTAGATTGGCAGCTGACGAAGCTTTCTTAGCTGCATGAAAATGATATTATGAACAATGTTGCCACAACAATTGTTTATTAAAATGTAAGAAGAAGACATACCCAGATTAAGAACATAAGAGACAACTGTGGACTGTGAGTACCCCAAGAGAGACATCAATCTGTCTGAAACCCACATCCTCAATTCAGATCCCATTTTTTACTGCATTAGGCAACAAAATACACAACAATGGAAGTTAGATTTACTAATATGCATCTTTGTATCAACATTGCTAGAGTTCCTACCTCTCCATTATGGATCCTCGACATAACATGCTGGAAAGAGTCTTTTGATCTTAAATTGTACCCGTACAATTCCAAAGGTAATTTTGAGTTATTTCAATTGCTTTTGAAGTAAGTTTATTATCTAAGTTCTTCTATATCATTATAGTTCTTATATCTCTTATTTGGGTGACATATTCCTCATTAAAAATAAAATGATTTCTCATATATGTATAAAATGGGTCAACCCATTAGTCACCCAACCCATTTTTGACCTACAAATATGGATGGATTGGGCTGTGACCCATTTTTAACTCGCACAAACTCTACCCAACCACTCATTTGCAACCATACTTAGGTGCATTCCTTATTGTAATAAAACAAACTTTTCAGCTTGAAATACTACAGACAGTATTTTGTGTATTAAAATTTCAATCAGAATGCCATAAATCATAAGCAGTGGTTCATTGTCTGTCATGCAAAAAAGTCAGGAAAAAATACCAGTAAAGTGAGGCCACCAAATCAAGGACTGTCCTTCAAGAATACACTAATTGAGTGCAGAACAACATCACAAAGGACCCATAAGGTAGTTTAAACCGTATGTTAAAAAATCAAAAATCTCAACAAGAGACTAACTAGATAATAAATGTCAACTCCATTTTTCAAACCCCCTATTTTAAGGAGAGGGAAAATAAACTAATTTCCATCAGAGTTCAATGATAATAAGAGGTGGTAGAATCAAAAGCAAAATTCCTTATTTACCATTTCAAGTAGTCAAATCTCATAATCCAGAAGGTCCATTGCAAATAGCTAAACTATAGCCCCTCTAGAATAACTCACGTGGATTAGTCGACAATAAAGACTATACAACTACTAGCTGATAAAATTAACATACTTGCAACTTCATTAATACATTAACACTAAACACTGTAAGCTGGAAAATCAAAACCCTGTTGACACAAAGCAATTTACATGTAAACACTATTGAATTGGCGGGACTGAAACCCATTATCTGATATATCTAGAAAGATTTGGTGACTTACTTAAAAATATAAGTTTCTTATGAAGAATTGAACATCATAGTACGATGATAAACATTCATCTTTCATTTTCTTGATTTCTCTTGAAGTACATATTCAGAAAGGAAGAGATTGAGAACTAATTGAACCGTGTTGAGTTCACTATCACATTGTAAAGCCATCACACATGTAAAACAAATCAAGAACAAATCAAGAAGTTATCTCGTAAAATAACATACAAGAAACAAGTGAACTAGGGTTTTGTCTATTGCAACCTGGGAAAGGGATATATAGGTCTAGCGACATAGAAGGATTGGGAACTTACCAATAAATTGCCAGAAATTCACCGGAGATAAGGAATCAAGTTCAACGGAAGAGTCGACAAGTCCGGCGGCGTTTGAAATTGGCGGGCCAACGGAAACTGTGCTCCGTCAAGGAACCGGTAGAAGGGTTTTGGCCTGTAAATTTTGAAACTCCGAATGGGGCTTAATGGAGCTTGCTTGCCCAAACTCTGTGATTTACTTTCTATGAGAAATTAACGAAAATAATCATTTATGCTTTCGGTAGATTAATCATCCTTTATATGTACACCTTTAAGCAATTTATTAAGGGGCATTTTAGTCACTTAAATATTTTTAAAAAATCTTTAATAACTTAAATATTTAGAAATTACGTAAAAATATTATAAATCACAATAATTAAAATATATAAAAATTTGATTGACTTCCAAGTTTTTTTGTGCCACATAACAATAATTAACAATTTAAAAGACATAAAAAAATTGATTGACTCTTGTCTATTAGTTTTACATAAACATAAATTGAGATAGAAGGAGTGACCTATCTTATTTGAAAGTGACATAAAAGTATTATAAATCATAATATTGACTACTAAAAACATTAAATGAAATAAAAAGTTTGATTGAATCTCGAAATTCTATCGGTGCCATATAAATTGAGACAGAAAGAATTACATGTATTATTTAAAAATTATATAAAAATACTATAAATCACAATAATTAATAACTTAAAATATTTATAAATTATATAAAAAAATTGCTCGACTCTCATATTTTATTTATATCACATAAATTAAGACAAAAAAAGTTAACATATATTAGATCCGTGCTAGCGCAGGCTACAATTCTAAAGTGTACTAAGAATAGTAAAACAATATAATACACCTCCAAATGTGAGTCCATGTTAAAACATTTTTTTCATTAAATCTAATATTTTGCATTTGTTAATTATTATTATTATTATTATTATTATTTGATAGAAATCAAAGATACTGATTTGATGAACTTTAAGAATCAAAGTCGCTTATAAATATAAAAAATATTGAAAGGATAATTTTTGAATCTGCCTCAAACATGAAGAACTATAATTATGTTATTTTCTCTATATTTTTAAAATGGTTTTTTGGAATTACCTCCATGGCAAACAAAATAAGAAAATTGAGATTGAACTTATTTGAATATGTGATTATTATATAAAGAGAAGGGGTGTGGATACATGTGTATGGATACATCAAAAAGAATTTGAGAGGCTCGCTATACCAGATATTATGAGAGGGGGATAGGACGAAAAAAACTATATATGAAAGTAATTAGACAAGACACAATACATCTCCAACTTATTAATACATGATCCAAGATAGGAAGGTATGTAGCGAATTTTTCTTATTTTTATGTGAGAAAGATAGGGGCTAGACTATTTTTCTCATTTGATCTCCTAATTTAGTAGTATTATTATAGTTTGTATTTTATCGCTTCATTTTTTACTATTACATGTTTCATTTTCTTTGTTAATCTTGTATTGTCGTTACTTGTGCTTTGATTACACTCGTTTCGAGTCGAAAGTTTATTTAAAATAACCTTTTTACCCCATAAAAATTATGGATAGAGATAATATTTTAGTACACTTCACCAATTTCACATCATTCACTTGTGGTATTACACTAGTTGCGATATTATTGTTATTTTTGGGAGTAGCAGTCTATGTTATAACCATAAAATTACGTTATGCATTATCAACAATCATAGAGACCTCTAATACCACCAAAATAGAGTTGAGATACCATATAAGGAATAAGCCAAACATAATATGGGGATTGAAAAATTATACTTACTTGGATATGAAAAAGTGTTCCATCAAAAGCTAAAGAGAAAAATAAACTCTGAAAATCGTTAGGCCAATTACTCATATTGTTAATCTTCGATTCGTGCAAACATGGAAAAACTTATCATTTCTGTAAGTCTGTAAACATTCAAAAATAAAGTGTATACAAGCATTTAGTGAAAACTTTGCCACTAACACTTTTACAATAGAAAAAGATATACCAATAACTTACAAAGCTGTTCTATGCTCTTTGTAGTAACCATCAAGCACACTTGATAAGAGCTGTTGAAGCAGCAGCTCTCTGTAATGCCTTCAACTTATTAGCTTTCATATGAGATTTCTATTCCTTTAAGATCCGAATTTTCAAAAATTTCTTGCTAGATAATTTCCAGTTTGATTTGTTGTCTCTCTTCCTCCGAATGAGATATCAGTGATAACAGTCTTTTGTTGGGATACTTGGTGTAAGTTGATGGGAATAAAAAGTGACTTCAAAGATAAAAATGGAAATCAAGCAAGGTATGCTACATATTATTGTTGTAAAACGACAACTATATATTGTTGTTGTACAACATAAGAAAAGTGAAATCAAACGGTTACCTCTAACAATATAAACCATCTCAAGACTTCCTGTGGTATCTTTAGAAGGCAAATCTTGTGCTTTCACGACTCTTACAAACAGGAATTGCGTAGGCTCACCTTAGTCATATGTGCTGGATGTTCTGCCACCTCGAACAACTCAGCGCCCCACTATACACCCTCCTCCAAAGACACGGGTTGTCTCTTGAGATTGAGAAACAGAAGAGGCTTAGAGCAAAGATTGAAATCGCAACTTCCGTCTGAATATGCTCTACGGACTTCTCCTATAGTTATAACAAGTTGTATTTTCAGGCACTAAGCACGCCCACACTCCACCTGAATCCCTCAAATAATATTCTCTCTGCAAAGTCACTCACAGAGTTCACAACAGGTCTCATCAACTTTTCTCAGTTTCTCTTGGGGAAGAAATTGAGATTCAAGGATTTACTTTAAGCTACAGCTAGATATGCTGGGGAAGGAATACATGAAAGTTCTTACAAGGTCGAAGCTGTTGAAACATCGGTCACTGGGATGGGTTGGATAAGTTCAAAGGATATATAATAAAATATATATATATCAAGAAGAGGATTCAGAGGGGATACATTCAAAGGAAGCATCACTAGACAGTCTCTTCAATCATCACACACATCTACGTCATATATTTTGGTCTTTCTGCGCGAAACTCACTATATTAGGACTTCAAGCAGTTGAAGAATTAGTTTCAAAACACTTAAAAAATTAAAGCATAGTAAGAGAAAGCATCGTATACTCTCCTTCTTTTCTATAGACAGGTAGAGGATGGTAACACCGCCTAATTCTTTCAGTTTTATATAAAATTATAACTTTCAGTTTTATATAAATTGTATAATGGTGACTACATCTCAATATCAGGTCGGGCAACTTCTTTCTCTTCAGTTCATTACAGGAAGGAAAAGAAGAAGAAGAAAGAAAAGTTCATCTATCCAGTTGAGGATCATTAGATCTTGAACAATTTCCAGTAGCGGAAGTATAATAACGAATTGGTTATATTTTGTCCAATTATATGAAAATAAGAAAGGTACATCAACCAGTTTTGAAAGTAAATGACAGTAATTATTTAAATTAAAAGCTTAAAAAGTAACCTAACAAACAGAATAAATAAAGGATGAGTATGTATGACTCAATACGGAGTTGGTGTTACCCAAGTTGGAGGACAAAAACGACTAAGGGAAACACCGTTGTAGTGCGGCTGGATGCTGCCATCTGCTAAGTTGAACACCCCCATGTCCAAGCCTCCTCCTTCTTCATAGGAGAGGTATGTTTCATAAAAATCTTCTGTAAAATAAATATGATTGGGCTTGATTCCTGGACATCGAGAAGCTTGGACTGAAAGAGAGGCATTAGCACCTAGAAAAAAAGCTGCGTCCCCTAATTCCCTGGTTTCTGTCATTTTGACAGCAGCTAAATCAACCTGGAAAACTCGAAAATTTGTTGTCCCATATGTTATATCCTCACAAACCATATCTTCTCTTATTTCTTCTTCTTCTTGGATGATTTGTATGATTGGGATGATCGTTAATGGAACCCTGTCGCAATCATCTTGGACTAACCTAAGTTGAACACCATATCGCGCAATTACAAATAATGATCCTAGTGATTCTAGAATGTATACGTGCTCTGGCATATCTTGAGGTTCCGTTGGTATCTGAGCTAGAATATGACATTTAGTGAGTTCAGGGCCAACAACATCAGCAACATCACAAACTAATAGACAGCCTGAATAATCCACGGAATAAATTTGGTCATTAAAAAATATCATATCAGTAAAAGAACAGTACTTGATTCCTTCACATTTAACTCTAGTCCATCTAATATCTCCAGGTCTCCAGAAACTGAGGAACCTCTGGTTTCCGTCAATGACCATGAGAAGGTAGTCGGATGTGTGAGAAGGACTAGCTGATAAAATTGCCTTACCAATAAAGCAAGTCCGTGGGTCAATCTCATGATTGAGGTAGTCTACTGTTGTATTTTGATGGGGTAATTCAATCTGAACACCAGAGAAGGGATGTAGCAGACTAATTTCACCCTCTTCTCCTACCGTGATAAGCCAACCCATAGACTCCAAACATCGTTTTCTGCTAGCTTTGGGGATCCTCTTGTTCAAAATCATGCCATTATAGAGGCTGAAGAATTTCCGAACCTCATTATCCTCTTCCTCCGCTAGCATTAGCCAAGGAGCTCTACACAAGTCATTGTTAAAATTGTTCTTGGTGGCCACAGAGTGCCAGGATTTGCAGACAGAGCCAAAATTCAGGTAGTCTTCAATCAGATTCAAACATCTACCTATCGAAACCAACAGATCAAGTGGAATTTCCGACCAATCAGGCATCTTTTGCGCCATCGACAAATCTATCTCAACCCGTTCCGATCCCAGCCGCCTTATATAATAACCTAACGAGAAATCCCTAGATTTGGTGAACCGATATCTAATATCAATTTGTAGGCATGTTATTCAAGTTTGTAAATTTTGTCCTTAATTTTTATAGAAGTCTTATTATCATTTTGTCTTTAATTTTTATAAAAATCATATATTAATTACATGATATTTTTTAAAAACCATATAATTATATATGATATTTTTAGTATTATATAATTCTTACAGTTGAATGATATTTTTATAAATTTACTCGTATAATTTTTTTTTCTTAATGATAACAACGAACACTTCAAATAAAATAATTTAAAAGGTTTTTTTTGTCCTTTTAATATGTGTAGATAAGAATTTTTGTCTTCAAGTAAGGTTTTTACCTTATTTATGTAGTATAATTTATCTTTTAAAGAAACTTAATTGATATGATATATAGGTCATTAAATAGCTATATGTCATCTTACATCTCCCTAGTGATGTTTATGGTGTAATTTAACATGTACAATTGGATTATATATACCAACGTGTTCCATAGAAAAATCTCAAATCCATTTTAGTTGAGGCAACAGATTTTGCCAAACAATATTCAATGAACTTGTTCATCATTTTCATCAACTTGAACAATGAAATTGACTTTACTCACATGCATATTACCAACATTATGACTCTGAATTTTAATTTCTGTGATTGGAGGGATTCAGAAAATTCCTAGATGAAGCAAGCACCCAAACAACTCCATTGATTTTCTGCTACTACCTCTCCCATGTCACAAAAACCCAACCTAACAAATGTCTCCTCGCCAAGGGATAGCTTTAGTTTTTCCCTTGCTTCGATGATGTCTAGTTGAGCACATCTTATGGAACCTTTATCTTCACAGGAACATTAAACTCTTCTCTCTCCAATATTCTCGACGTGATCAGCAAGTAGTTCCATTTTAGGCATCGGAATGATAGTCCTTTTAGCAAGTTCATTTTCATTGGCTTGAGATGGAGGACTCAGAGTTTCATGTATACCTTCTATGCACGGTTTATCCTTATTACTATATGGTGTCCATTCTGGTAGCTCTGCCTGGAAATCTGGTCCAATGGGGGACCATCTTTTGAGGATTACTCAAAAGAAAAGAATATATCTCCCTGTAATGAGCAGCTGCCCTGAACGAATGATCAAAATAGTAATATTCAGAAGACGTCAATATGTGAAAAGGCGACTCAGGCCTGATGTCTTCCTCACTGGTGCTACTGGTGGGCCAGGAAGAGTTTGAAACAGATCCATGAATGCCCATCTCAGAAGAAAAAAGAACTTCAGCTACAATGTGACTATCAAATTTCTTGTTTGCATCGGGGATGATTTTCAAAGAGTTGTCCTCATAAACACCTACCAAAATCCATAGATAACAGACAGTCGATCAGAGTATGGAGCAAAAACATTCATTTAAGATCCAAAATCTACTCTTACAAGAGCAAGCCCGTAAAGTAAGGTGTCAAGGAAACCACTCCAAAGTTAAAAATACTTGACAGGTCTTACAGCCTACTGCACTCCACCAATGACTTGAAGCATTTTTAACAATGGTACATAATGCAGCAAAAACAGTGCGAAAAACAGTGATAATTAGTTCTAAAGGGCTTGATGAGGGTGTTGATCTGTGATACCAATACTGCTGTAATTTTTGTAAGCCTTTCCACTCTGTCTTATTAATCTTGTTTTTATATCCTTACTTCCTATTTTGGGTTTTTTTAAAAAGGAAACTTCTCCCATAATACACGTTTATGCAATAACCCCATTTCGCAAAAAGAGGTGGCATCAACTTGTAATTTTTGTAATATCTAAATTCACCTACTTCATTGTTGTCAAATGCTCATGGCATTGCTTCATATGCATGTTGGCGTTGATCTTGCCTCCCTACCAATTACCATATTGCCTCTGCTATCATATATGCCTCAATCAATGTTTGTATGACAGTTATAGGCTTATGCTCATGTCTCTGGTTGATAGGCATGTTGGCATTGATAAGCTTCCCTACCATATTGCTCCTACTATCATTTACGCCCCAACCAATGCTTGTATAACAGTATAGAGTTACATAGCTGCCAGTGAAGGTATCCATTGTGGAAAACATGCTCAATCTAAAAAAAAGGTGCACCATAATTGTTATAAACAGTGTCCTTCGCAACAGGATTCTGTTGTCTGGCAAGTTTCTGAGTCTGATAGATATATCTACCAGTTCATTTGATTGCCAAAATTAGTTTCAAAAGATCAGGTGATGCATTTTGATCAACTGCTGGCCAATTTTTTTTATTGCAGTTGGGTGGAAATGTGATGCGTTGAAATTGATTGACTTCAATGAACAGTTATTGCTGCTGACTGCGAAGAATTTGCTCAGGCCTTTCTACAGTTCTTCATGGAATTGTTACCTTAGACAAACTGGGCAATGTATCTATGATGTGTTAGAATAATTGTACATGGTCTATATCAAGTGTTCCAATCATTTGTTTCTTTTTCTTTTTGTAAAAGCTATGTATATATTTACTTAAAACTGGTTATATGTGCAACCTTTTGTAACATAAAATTATGTCCTTATAACATGCACATAAGTATCTACAGAACTCCATTGTTATTTTCAGAAATGCAGAATTCCATTAAAAAATAAAACTATTGCAGACTCATTTGCATTAAATGAACCCCAAATTTGCACATTTTGCATATTTAACCTATCACTAATATTTTCCAAACTTTTGATTATATTACAAAAAAACAACTACAATGGTTTTGATTAACATATGGCCAAACTCAGAAGAAATACTACGTCTTGGATTTAATACAATCCTCAATGAAAATCAAAATTTGCCTTCTATTCGTTCACTAGACAAGATGTGAAGAAAGCAAAAGCATAGAAGTGGATTTACGATTTTTTATTTTATTTTATTATGCTTCTTAAATGTCATATTCATGTCTCAAGTCTTCATTTTTAGTAGTAAAATAAAAATAATAAGATAAAGAGAAAAAACAGATGAAAAACCATCTTTATAAGTGGTAAAGATAATCATATATATATATACATTACTAGACATCGGAGCCCGTGCTAGCACGGGCCCAATATGTATCATTTTTTGTTTCAATTTATGTGACAAAGACAAAATTAAAGAGTTAATCAAACTTTAATATTAATTTAAAATAGTTTAAATTTTTAATTATTGTTAACTATGGTAAAAAAAATTTTATGTCTTTTAACATTCTAAATTGCTAATTATTGTTGTATGATTTGTAATATCTTTTACGCAATTTTGAAATAATAAAGGTTATTTCTTCTTTCTCAATTTATGTGGTACTAATAAAATTTCGAGATTCAATCAATTTTTTTTGTCTTT